CAGACATCTCTACTTATTTCCATCTTATATCTGTTTACATCTCTGGCCTGTCTTCTCCAAAACGTTTCTACAAGTAGATGCTAGTTGCCTTACCCTGGAGTTGGATGGAAGAAATTTGCCATCTGCCAAGTAATGGTTTTGTTAGGGAAACCCTGCATGTGTCAACTGGATGTTAAGAAACTGGTAATAGAACCAGAATCTGCTTCTTTAAGGTATTCTCTAACTCCCAGAAGAGGAAGGGAGGAGGTAATCTTCCCCTTATAATCACGTTAATGTGGTTGCTGGATCCAACTTCATACTGCTTTCTCACACTTGCCTTGTTTTCAAGGAGTAGCTCTAAAAAGGTACATGGCCTCTTAAGATTTGTTTTGAACAGTCTTGTTACCTGTCTGTCTCTAATTAGCCTAATGAGCACTAGGTAGCACAGGCTTACAGCACACAAAAACAAGTGGTGTTCCTTGCACTTTCATAGATTCATAGATGTTAGGGGCTGGAAGGGACCTTACATGATTGTCATGTTCCAAGAGACTGTGGTGGGGGATACAGTCTTCAAAAAGCCAGAAGAGACCAACCTAGGGTAGAGAGACAGAACTGGCTTGCAGATTAATAGTAGGAAGTTATGATCAACAGCAGTTCAGGAAGCACTTACTAGTAAGTAACTGATGGATCATGGTTAGTGGGACTCTGCTGGGGCTGACGTTAATGTCTTTGTAAGTGGAGTAAAATGATGGGATCAAGTCACCTATAGTTGATCTTGGAGCTGGAGGGTATTGCTTGTGTAGCAGAGTTAAAAGGGAGTTGAAAGACCCCAGGCAAAGCAGAGTAAGATGAAAAGCTGTTGTTTAGGGCAGTGGTCTCCAAACTTTTTTTGATTGCGCACCCCTATCAAGTAAAAAAAAACTTGACCATGTACCCCCAAGATATGTGTAGTTATATTTGCGCGCCCCTATCTGTAAAAAATTTTTGAGCACGCACCCCCAATATATGTATATTTATATAAATATACATCTAAATAGAAGTTCTAATATTTTCTTCCCGCACCCCAGTGGATCATCTTGCGTGCCCCACTTTGGAGACCACTGGTTTAGGGTGAAGAATGCCTCTGAAGTCCTTGAATAGGGAGGTGAATTTGGGGAAGCCAGAAGGGGAAGCATTGCTGCTTCAGAGATACTACTCATAGATACTACTGAAACAAAAGCAGCTCCCAGAGCAGGCTGAGACTTGTATGTGTGGGGGTAAGCCAGTTCTCAGTAAAGGATGTTAGTGCTCTCAAAGATCGTTTCCAGTCCTTAAGTCTCTTACTCTTTGGGTTTCACCGATATACCAGTTACAAACGTAAGTCTCCCATGCACAGTGCAGGTACTGCCTTACATGCCCCTTCCAGTAAGAAACCTCTGACTTCCTAAAATTGTTTTAGGACTGTACATGTCCTTTATTATGATTGTAGTGTCTCAGAGCTCCCGCAGTCATATGTTGAACTGCACTGTTCTAGGTGGTGTGCAAATGCAGAATGAAAAGAATCCCTTGCTTTATAAAGGGACTCCCCTTGCTCTGTCAGTCAAATGCTCCTCCTTCCACAAATTCTGTCTTGATACAGGTTTTTAAAGCAGGTTTCTTTCAGCTCAGGTGGGGGTTGAGCAGCTGGTGCCTTTTCTCTGGTATCATGCCCCAGGTGAGAAGTGTTAATGTTTTCTCTTGCTCCATCTTGGCATTGAACATGATCAAGCTAGGAGTCTTTTGGCAGCTGTGTGACCACTGCTGATTACTGTGGGCATGCTATGCTGCAGAAGCCAGCAAGTTAGCTAGGAGACCTTCTGCTTCATATGTGGCCAAATCCCTTTAATTTCTTATTCAAACATTATTTGGCAACAGGCATCAGGCCAACTCCATGTGTGTCACTGACTTAGTGTAAAGCTCTACATTGTACAAGCCAGCATTACTTTATTACTTGATGGGAGAGTAGAAAGCATCCTACAAGAGGCTGTGCTATGACCCACAGGGTCCTCAGGTCCTCTGCAGGAAGGAGGAAATGTGGCGGTATCAGACTCTCTTCCTGAAGCCTTTGGAAGGCAAGTATTAGTGCAAAAAACATTGCTGTTCATTTGCCAGAGTGGCTGTCCTTTTTCTTCATGTGGATGCTTGGCCTGATTGCTGCTGCTGCAATGTGTTCAGCTCCCACTAGGGTGGAGTGAGGAACTCAGTGTCAGGTTTCATAGTTTGTAGGGTTGGAAGGGACCTGAGTAGATCATCTAGTCCGACCCCCTGCCATGGCAGGACAGAGTACTGGGGTCAAATGACCCCAGCAAGGTGTACATCCAGCCTCCTCTTAAAGACCCCCAGGGTAGGAGCCAGCACCACTTCTCTTGGAAGTTGGTTCCGGATCCTAGCCGCCCTGACTGTGAAGTAGCACCTCCTGATGTCTAGCCTAAATCTACCCTCTGCCAGCTTGTGACTGTTATTCCTGGTCACTCCTGGCAGTGCTCGGGGGAGCATTGCCATGCGGTCCGTAAGCCAACCAGCCCTGGCCCCCATCTATGCATATTGATTTTTATTTCCCCTTTCCATGAGAGTTGCATCTTTGATCTGTAGGGGTCAACAGAAGCACATTCACTGGGGGCTGAGGGAGCAAGAACTTTTCTCTTTCAAGGCATTTCTTGCTACAGCAGAAGGTCAAGCCTGTGCTGCACAGGATAGTCTTCTGATGGAGCCACCCATTTTCAGATGAATAAAACCAGCCAGAATTGCTTCGCTTTCATGCTGCTGTTGGGGAAGCACATGGTTCAGGATCAGTGCAATGGAAACTGTCCTTATCCTATAGTAATGGGTTCAGTGCTCATCCCACAATAATGGGTTTTGCCTTTGGTGACTGGTAGTCTCTTCCTAGTGGATGAGTGCAGTTGCTGTCTGTTCATTAGCTTCAGGCTTTGGCCTGCTAGTGACGTGCCTAGGTAGCATCTTAATTGGGATATCCTGGTTCTCTCCTTGCATGCTAAATAGGCATGTTAACTGATTTAGCTCCTTTTCTTAAAAGGAATCATAAATCTTCTAGAGAATGAGTAATAGCAGTTACTGCTGCTGATAGCAGCTTTAGCTGCATTCCCTGCTGACTTAAAGCAATTAACTATCCTGTTTTGTACCTGAAACCTTGTCTGGCTTTCAGAGGATTTGTTCTGTTTTGTTTTTTTGCAGGCAGAGTTATATTTGGGTTTCTTGAACTTGCCAATAGCATAGGCGCATTAACCTTCTGGTCACAATCGCAGCCATTTCACAAGACCTTGCAAGCAGTTGTTTCTAGGGCAACAAGAAATCAAGTTTCAGTTTTCTGGACTGATGAAAATTTCACAACCATAGTAAAGAAATTGTGCTGAGAGATGTGATTTCCTGTTATGTAAAGTGCTGCTTGAGTGCAGTGAGTTTTGGTTCTCGTTTCTGTTTGAGATCCATTGTCTTCGGCATGGAAATGTCTCTGATACCTTTTAACATCAATCTCCTTTGGAAAGCTGCTAGCAGACATGGTAATTAAGTTCCAGCGGGTGAATGGGGTTCAATGATTTGAAGGGCAAGAATCCCAGGAACAGGATTCCAGAGTAGGGGATAGAATATATATCCATGGTTGAAACACAGATGCCAGTCATGTTATTGAGAAGCTTGCACCATTGCAGGTGCAGTACAATCCTTATGGCTAGTGAACACAAAAAAATAATGGAGAACTCTGGCAGGCCCATTGCCACCTGGTCAGGCCGCAGCTGGAGTACTGCGTCCAGTTCTGGGCGCTGCACTTCAGGAGGGATGTGGACAACATGGAGAGGGTCCAGAGGAGGGCCACTTGCATGATCAGGGGGCAGCAGGGCAGGCCCTACGAGGAGAGGAACCTGTTCAGCCTCCACAAGGGGGTGGGTGGGAATCTAGTGGCCGTTTACAAACTAGTCAGAGGAGACCGGCAGGCATTGGGGGAGTCCGTGTTCCCCCGAGCACTACCAGGAGTGACTAGAAATAGCAGTCGCAAGCTGGCAGAGGGTAGATTCAGGTTAGACATCAGGAGGCGCTACTTCATGGTCAGGGCGGCTAGGATCTGGAACCATCTTCCAAGAGAAGTGGTGCTGGCTCCTACCCTGGGGGTCTTTAAGAGGAGGCTGGATGAACACCTCGCCGGGGTTGTTTGACCCCAGTACTCTTTCCTGGCATGGCAGGGGGTCAGACTTGATGATCTGCTCAGGTCTCTTCTGACCCTACCTACTATGAAACCTTTGCTCTGGTACACCAGGTGTGTATATATTACTTCAGACATAGTGTTCCTGCATATGTTTAGTAAATTGGACCAGATGACCCTCGAGAATCCTTTCTAACCCAATGATTCTGTGTGCTTACTAGTTAATGTACATGCACACAGCCACAGTAACTGCATTCACGTACAGTACTAGATCCACAGCAGTGTACTTGCAACCCAGATTTTCAGAATTTGGTTGTGTAAGTAGGAATCAAACTTGGGCAGCTGATTTTGGATAGGTTCGTTCATATGTGCTGTTTCAGACTGTCTGCAGACTTGAAGAATTTGCCACCCCCAGAGTTAGCTGCCTCCCTTTTAGAAGGTTTCTTCTTTGGCCATAAGGACTAAAAAGCTCAGTGTCTGAAAAGTGTTTTGTTCTGAAGCTGGATGAGTGGCTCAGGCTGCCTAGTCCTGGCCTGCAGGTCAGGTGGTGATGCCACTAATTTGGGTTGTTCAATTCTTAAATAGGGATTTCCTGTTCATGTCTGTTGCCTTCTCTTTGTTTCTTTCCTGAGAAGAGTTAGTCTGATGGAGGAAAAGCTATAGCTCCACACCTACCCACAGAGATGCTTGTTACTGTGGGTTCATTTTCTCCTACCTCACCTGGACAGGTCAGCATATTCCCAATAAGGTGGTGAAACCTAAGGAGATCATCCAGGTAAAAGGTATTTTGCACTGTACTGCATCACTTCTAAGGCTGACTCTTGTGCATGCTGTTTATGTTTGTCTTTAGGTTCAGTGAATGAAAATCAGCGACCATCCAATTCATACAATGGGGACCTGAACGGGCTGCTGGTGCCAGACCCCATCACAGCTGGAGATGGAGCTTCATTGGCTAAGCCAATGCACCGCAGTGTTCCTCTGGGAACCCTGCAGGAGAAGCAAGTCATGTAAGTTGTTCACCATTAGTCATTTCTAATATGTGGAAATGCCCAGAAGACCAGTCTGATACAGCTCAATTAGTTTATTGATTAAGCCTGTGAAGGCTGTTAGCAATCCTTAGCCTGTGGTACTGCTGCAGAAACTAAAATGGAGCAAGCTCAGCATTTTGGTTAATGCACCTCCAGTTTTAATCCACATATAACTATAGAATTCAGCAAACCTCCATTTGCTTTTACCTCAACCAGTAAGAATCCCGAAGCCTCATGCATACACTTTCTTAAGGATATATGGCAGTTCTTAAAAATTCTAATATTATAAAAGCCTTAGTCTGTCTGTCCATAACGCTTTATTCATACTCTGATTGGTTGCCTCGGCACATGGTGGAGCACCGTGGAGACAGCGGAGACTGAGGGGCCAGAGCAGGGGGGGGCCAGGCCAGCTCTGCTGGCTTTGCCCCCTGCTGCTCTGCTCCTTGGAGGCAGAGGGGGATGACAGGGAGTGTAGCGCTGCCATGACAGGGCGCACATCGGGGGGAGGGGGGGGAGTGAGGCCGGTGATGCTGGCCTCGCCCCCTCCCCGCCTGTGCCTTGGAGCCAGGGGCTGGGGCACTCCCCCTTCCAACAACAGCCTGCGGAGGAAGGCAGGGTGTGGGGAGAGCGGGAAGAGGGGGGGAGTTTGACTGGTGGCTGCACCCCACCGCAGCCACCACCGCTCTGGGCCTTGGCGGCCCTGGCCCTGGCCTGGAGCAGCAGGGGGGAGGTGAGGAGCAGCTCCAGCCCAAAGCAGCCAGGGGGGAGGGCAGAGTGGCCCAGGCTCTGGCCCTGGCCTGAAGCGTTGAGGGGGGAGGAGGACAATGGCCTCAGCCCTGGCCCAAAGTGGCAGAGGGGAAAGTAGGGAGCGGCCATGACCCGAGGCAGGGTTAAGCGGGGAGGGAGCTGGACACAGTCCTCTGTCCCTGCCATCCCCACACCCCATCATTCTTGATGGGCATTTTGCTAGCGGAAGCATAAAAGTGCAAGATTCATCATGCTTGTCTGGTACAAAAGAAAAAAACCCAATTATAACAAATATTTTGAAAACAATGTGTTTGACTATTGGAAGATTTCATATCATGATTTAGTATAGTGCAATAAACAACATCTTTATACATGTCTGAGTTAAATAGATACCCAAACATATACCATGCTTAACATAACAGCCTAAAGATAATATAGCTTTAGCTAACAGCATTTTGCAGGGATGCCTGAGAACAAGTGGGAAGCTCTGTCAAATCTTGGTTCTGGTGAGACTGATATAATGAGAAGCTGTGAAAGTACAGTTTGAATTTTACAGCAATTCAGCAAAAATATTTTTCACTTCGAAAGGCCAGTGCCTACATTTATATTGGATTGTGAGGAATATCTCTGAGGCAGATATGACTGTAAAGAGCCCTAGGTCCGATGTGCAGCATCTCTGCTGTTCAAGGATTAAGGAGCCTTGGTGGAACTGTGTAAGAGAGGGGGAAGCAGCTCTGAAATTAAAAAAAAAAAAAAAGATATTCTGCAAATTGAGATTTGAAAAAAAAAATCAGCAGAGCTAAGGATGCGTATAGCAGCAGGTACTGCAATTCATATGCGTTGGTAGAGCTGTATATGGAAACTTGTGTACACTGCAGTTCACCTATCCCCATACTTCTGTCACTTCAAGTAATGTTTGTGCTGCATGTTATAGAGCAATGTAGAGATGCCTGATTTAGCCTGGTCATAGGAAGCAGTCTAGCTGAGATAGTGTAGAGCTTCACATGTGCTCATTTCTCAAGTGGGAAAATGAACATGCATGGAGCTCTGTGCCGTTATAACTGGACTGCTTTCAGGTCTTTGGTTAGGTCTGATTTCTCTTGCACCATGCTATGGAGTGTAGACATGCCCTATACATTCCGTAGGCAGTTCGTCTTCAGGTAGCACCTAGCAGAAGAACTGATCCCAAGGTAAGTTACTACCCTGCTGAGTGGTATACATAATTAGGTGTGCCTTTGACACTATACAAAGGTTTGGCGGTGACACTGCAGGTAACGTTTTTACTTACTTTCTATCACAAGGCATGAGTGATGACATAGCAACCCAGGTATTACTGTATAGGATTAGAGCACTGATCTATTCAGTCCAATCCTCTTTGTCTTTGCGTGACTGCTCTTCTCTGCATTAAGCTAGTCGTATGAAGATGCCTGCAATTTGGCTTCTCTGAAGATCACTTGTTTAGCATGTTCCTGAGAGGTGCTACTGGGGGAAGTGCTTAACAGCGAGTTTCACTTATTCCAGTGACAGCATATGTTTGGTCTTAGACCAGCTGCATTTTTTTGGTGGTATTTGGACTGTGGCCCAGAACAACTGTGAGGAATCTTACAACTTGAAGGCAGAAGGGTGGATAACTTGGGCGTGAGAAACCTTTGAGAGATTTTAAGCTGAAGAAACTAGACCTTTCTGCGTGGTATACTAATGTTGAATTTGGACATAGAAGAGTAACACAAGTATCACTGAGTTGCAGTTTAAATCTGTTTCCCATGACACTTGTGCAGTGTCACTCTCTTCACTCAAGAAGGCTGATGTGTGACTTTAACTCTTTATTTTTCTTCAAAGCTGCCTTTCTGGAGATGATGGCTCTACCTGCCTCGTGATATCAGCGAAAGATGTGGAGATAGTAGCCAGTAGTGATTCTAGCATCACCAGTAAGGCCAGAGGGAGCAACAAGGTAAAGGGGAAGTGTGCCTCTGTCTGGTCAATCTAAGCCAGTGATTCTTGACTAGGGTGCTGTGAGATCCTGTTAGCCAGGGGTGGACACAATACAGTCCATGGGCCAGATCTGGATCACCAACTGATTGATCTGGCCCGTGGGACAACAGCCACCAATTTACAGGATCTGGTCCACCCACCGGTGGCTCCAACCACCATGTGCAGACAAGTGGGCTAGACTATTTCCACTGTACCAGGTGGGTAGGCAAGACTGTTTCCACCACAGCAGCATCACTTCCACCACAGCAGCATCACTTGTGGACCTCGGTGGACACCCCCAATCTTCACCTCCACAGCTGTTGCCTGTGCCCACCTGGGGCTGCTTATGTTATGCCAGGCAGGTGGTGGTGTACTCAGTAGACACAGCCGGCAGGTTCCAAGTTGGGAATGGGGATCAGGGCATGCTGCAGCTCTGGGCAGGTGTGGGGAGAGACAGAGGGTGAGAGAGAGGGGATCAGGGTGTACTACAGCTCTAGGGCAGGGGAGAGTGGAGGAAGGGAAGAGAATTGGCCTGCAAGAGGACACTAAAACTCATTAAGCGGCCCTCCAGTCAAAATAAGTGCCCACCACTGCTTTTAGGGATGCCGTGCAACATTAGCGCTGTTGGGTATGCAAAGACTTGCACATGATTCACAAGATAAACCAGAGATTTCAAATAGGAATCCATTGTGTCAAAAATATTTGGACATGTAATCTTTTGAGTTCTCTGAAACCAGAGAATTGCTCTGTTGTTTTTCTGTAGTCATAAAGTCTCAGCGAAAGCTGAGAGCTGGCATTTTGCGAAGGTTTTGCTTGAGTCTAAAAAGTTTGAGAACCACAGGTCTAAGCCCTTCACTGTAACACCCAAGTACCTCTTAAGGTTTTAAAAATGAAAATAACTGCTTCCTTCCCAGTTTGTCAAAGGGTAACATCTTCCTTAATTATGGGGGAGGGGGAGTGTTTGAGGAACCTATTGAGAGAAAGGTGAATCAGAGATGGATTTTGGGCATGTAACTAATTTTTTTGCAGCAGTGAGCTCCATGGTCTAGGACAGTGGTTTTTAACCCCTAGGGGTCCTCAGACTATATCTAAGTGATCTGCAAAAGATGACTGTAATCAATTAAAAGTATATGACTACCCATACTTACAATTCAAAGGGGTCTGCACCTCTATTCAAAATTTACAAAGGGGTTCATGCCCCCATGCAAAAGTTTTTAAGGGTCTGCAAATGAAAAAAAGTTGAAAACCACTGGTCTAGGTGCAGCTTCTGTGAAAATTCCCTTCCCTGTGCTTCGTGTTAGTCAGTGGTTTCCTTGCTCCAAAGGGAGGTCATGGCCGTGAAGGGAGAAGTGACCTAAGCTGTAGGTCTGACCAGGTCCACTGAGGGCTCTGGTTAGCAGCATAGTTATGCAGAAGTAGGGCTGGAAAGGACCTTGAGAGGTCATCTAGTCCAGCCCCTTGCCTGAGGCTGGATCATCCCAATCTAAATCATCATATACAAATCCATTGTCTAGCTACTTAGCAAAATTATGCTATCAACCCTGACACAAGACAACACATAACACCCTAACCTGCTATAGGTAAAGCAACAGCACAGTGCTGTTAAGTAGCTTCTATGCTGAACAGGGAACAGAGCGCCAGATGTGTTCAACTTAAATCACTCTGCAGATGAGTTGTTATATTTTGACCCAATTGGAATTTTTCCAGAGCTTGTGGCTACATTCCTAAATAGGAGTTGGAGATTTATTTTTAGTATTAATTGTAGAGGTTGATGGCCATAAAAGTGTGGATCACTATTTTACCCCTGTTTGGCAGCGTGGTCTGCTGGGCAGCCACAGATGGAAAGCATGGTACTTTGCTATTTTGATATTCATAGTACTTTTCAGTTCCTTTCTCTGCATCTACCACAGGGACAACCTTTAGTACATTAGGCCAGGCCTCCGTCTCAATTGCTCCCAGATTCCCTACTGGCAGTATTTAAATGTAGGTCAGTTGCCTCATGCCATAGACCAAATAGGCACTTTTATCTCAAATACCCTTTCCATTGACTGTTGCTGGAGTCCTAGACTTCCCTTCAGTTTCTTTGTTAGCATTGTCCCATGGTAGATGAGCCAGTAGTATTATTCAGCAGTACCTGATAGTACCTTTTTTACCTGAATCTAAGATTACATTGAATTTAAGAGGACCCCCCAATATTTAGATTCAATACATGGACAATTATAAATATAAGAACATCAGAAGTTCCACAGTGAGTCAGACCAATGGTCTATCTAGCCCAGTATTTTGTCTCCATTCATGAGTGGCAGAAGTGGATGCTGGAGGAGAGCACTGAATCAGATATCTCTAGAATGATGCATCTCCTTTTCAAAACCTTCCCTAGTGTCTACCATGTGTTGGGTTAGAGATGCCAGAGAAGACACCGCCAACCATTCTGTTCAATACTCATTAATACCCACCACCACCTGTGGCAGTTAATTCCACAAGTTAACTACACATCGCTTTAGGTATTTTCTATTATTAGTATTAAACATGTCACTTACTAATTTCAGTAGGTATCCCCCCTACTTCTAGTATTCTGGGACTTGGAATCTAATTAATAGACATTCATCTTAAATTCATCCCCCCGCACGCTACTGCTGTGGAAAGTAGTGGTGGGGGAGGGGGCAAGGAGTAGACCCTTGCCCCTGCTCCCCTGCCTCTTGTCTCCCCCAACATGCCTGTGTCTGCCACCCTATCATGTGTCCTCTCTGCCCCTTTGTGCTTGTGCCTGGCTGCCACTTCTTCCTTGTGTGCCACCCTTCCTTACCTTCTGCTGCAGCTCTGTTCTCTGGGCAGCAGATGTATGACCCTGACCCAAACCCCAGCCCAGCTGGGCCAGGGAGAAGTGGAGGTAGCTCCCAGCTAGGCAAGGTTGGGACTGGAGGACTGGAGCCACAGCAGAAAGTAAGATGGGGGAGGGGAGCAGGGGGTGAGAAGGGCAGACATAGGCATGGAGTGGGGGCAAGGAATAGGGAGGCAGGGTGCAGGGTCCCCCACCCCTGCCATAGTCTCCCCTGTGCTCCCCACAACTGCATACCCCCTCCCCTCCCAAGTGAGTCATTCTGGCTTGGGGCAACTGGCAACTAGGGGTGCACTGATAGAGATTTTTGTGGCCAATGCGGATAACTAATTTTTCAACTGATAGCAATCTGATTTCCAATACCCATGCTTTCCGTGGCATCATGGACAGCTGCCTCCAGCTGGTAAGTCTGGTTTGCTGGAAGGGGAGATCAGATCAAGGCCTTCGCGGTGAGGGAGGGTGTGGGGTTGGGGCAAGTGCTGCCCAGCTGCGGCAGGGTGGCCATGGCACAGAGTCGCAGTTCAGCAGGGGGATGCGGGGAGGGGGAGGGTGGCTCTCGCTGCTGTGTGCCACTTGGCCAGGCGCCACTATTCTGGCAGCTTGTCTGGCGCTTGCCTGCTCGTCTGGCAGCTCCCACTGCTGCTTGTGCCACTCATCCAAGAGGACAGGGCAGGGGGTGCCCCCAGATCTGTGTGGGGCTGGTTGGGGCCGGGGCTGCACCAAGCTCTTTCTGGCAGGGCAGGGCGGGGCTGTGCTGGGAAGGGGCTACAGGGGGAGGGGGTGCTGCCCCCACAAACTTACTGTAGTCCCTTCCTGGTGCAGCCCTGCCCCACCAGGATGAGCTTGGCACAGCCCTGGGCCCAGCCTACCCCACATAAATCCGGGGCACACTCCCCTCCCAGATGAGTGGCAGGAGCTGCCAGATGAGCCACTGGACCAGTGGCTCCTGGCTGAGTGGTGCACAGCGGCGGGAGCTGCCCCTTGCCACCTGGATGAGCTGCGGCTCCATGCCGCGCCTGTCCTGCCCTGGCTGGGCAGCTCTTGCCCACCCCGTGCCCCAGTCCAGCCCCATTCCTCCCTCACCACAGGGTCCTTGATCTGTCCCCCCAGTACCTTTCCTCCCCACTCCCCTTCCACCTCATCAGACTTACCAACTGGAGGCAGCTCTCCAAGCTGCAGGGCTGTGCTCCTCGCCGCCTGTGCTGCACTGTGGCTGCTTGCATGCACAGGCCATTTATTGGCCTAATTATTGGCCTGATATGGTCAATTTCTGATATAGTAAATTTTCTTTATATTGGTGCCTATCCAATATTGGACTGATGTATCGGTGCACCTCTATTGGCAACTTGGCTGTTGCTTCAGCCCCAAGCCTGAGGCCAAAGCCAGAGTTGCTGCCTGCCCCAGTCTGGTACTCGTATATAAGATGAGGTCTTCCCCATCCCCCATGCTGTATTTGAGTAAATATGATAACTCTTGTTTGCAATGCATAGCCTCAGGAGCATGGCTGCTTTGGGCTCTCTAAAAGTCTCTATTTAGGCTACACTCTTCTGGATTCACTCTGAAATTTCCTTATGAAATGGCCATTTGGTTTCTGCAGTGCTGCCTCTTTCCCACTGAAGGGTGTTTGTTCAGCCCTTCTTTTTTCATTTTTCTCCAGGTTATGTGTTTCTTTCTTCCACACAGGTAAAAATCCAACCAGTTGCCAGATACGACTGGGAGCAGAAATACTACTATGGAAACCTGATAGCAGTCTCAAACTCTTACCTGGCATATGCCATCCGAGGTGAGGCACCCTTCTGTTGTTTTGTAGGTTTTGTCTGTGCTGGGTTCCTCTTGTGTTTCAGTTGTTATTAGGGCAAATACTTTCAACTTTCTTTGGGACATCCCATGTCTCATGCTCATGTTAGGGATGATTAAGTTAGGTAGACTTGGAAGTAGGTGTAGGGGCTGGCGTTAAAAGAAGGGGTTGGTAGGTTGGAGTGGAAGAGTAGAATACAACTATTGAAGAGAAAGCATCTAACTCCAGTGGGAAAGGTTGAATATAGTGGGAGCAGTAATGGTGAAGAGCAGGCCTTTGAGAGAAAGAGAGCAGCAGAACCAGGGAATGAAAGAGATGATGGAATGGGGCTTGCAGAATACCTCACTGAATCTACAGGATTCAGTCAGATTTGGGAATAAATATTTTAGAGGCTGGGCATTGAGAAGCTACCATGAAGAGAAATAAGGCATGTTTGCAGCTGGGGGTGCCTTGTCCTCGGAGTCACTCTCGCCAGACTCTGCTACCCCCTGTTTGCTCTGCAAGTGGGGTTGTTTGAAATGATGCTTTGATAAGGCAGTCAGGGACCACTTTGTGTTGGAGCTGGGATTCCATAGGGACCTGGTTCCATCCTATTGAGAGTTCATCTGTCCTCTAGAGTTAATGTTTCTATCGAAAACAAACCTAGTCTCCATGGATAAGCACAAAAATAGGCCCTGAGTAACAAGAGAGTGCAAAACTATTTAAAACTGATTTATTTGCATATGTTAAGAGCAGTTGTGGGGTTAAAAGAAGCTTCAGAAGAGATGAAGCAAGTACAGAGCAGAATGCTCCCTTTGGAGCAAGAAGCTGATGCACCTTGTTAATAAAGCTCAAGTTGTCCAGCATGAATGCAATGAGTTTTTGGACACACTTGATCATCTGCAGTGGCCCTTCTTTCTCTTGCCTCACCAGAGGTCTCTGAGAGGTTCCCTTCATGCTGTCCCTCTCTAACACCTAGCACTCTCCCTCTACAGCAGTGGTTTCCAACATGGTGCTTGTTGGCGCCATGGTGCCCCCCC